AAAGCCCCTCTTTGTGCTTACCGCAAATCAAGTGAAATTTATTTGGGGGGAGGAGTGTCAGAACTCCTTTGAGAACTTAAAGCGGGTGTTAACATCCTCTACCGTACTTTCTTTCCCGAGAGGGGAGGGTGAGTTTGTGTTGGACACGGACGCTTCTAACATCGGGATTGGTGCAGTGTTATCCCAGAGGCAAGAAAGGTTAGAAAAGGTTATCGCGTACTTCAGCCGTATGCTGAGTAAAACGGAAAAAAATTATTGTGTTACTCGTCGTGAGTTGTTAGTGATAGTCGACTCGGTAAAATCTTTTCGACATTACCTTCTGGGGCGCAAGTTTATTATTCGTTCAGATCACGCTTTCCTTAGATGGCTTATGTCCTTCAAGGACTTAGAGAGACAATTAGCTCGCTGGTTGGAGAGACTCCAACAATATGACTTTGAGATTGTTTATCGTAGAGGTCTTTTGCACGGAAACGCCGATGGATTATTCAGCCGTCAGTGCGAAATTGACGGCTGTACGTTTTGTGCTAGAGTAGAGGAGAAGAACTCAGTCGAATCAGAAAAGACAGTCGCGCGAATAATTTTGCTGGGAGAAACCTTAGATGAATGGAAGAAAGACCAGTTAGAGGATCAAAGTATCGCGACAATTTAATAAGGCAAGGAAACGGGGGTACGGCCGTCACGATCTGAGATTTCGGCAGGGGACGTTTCCGCTCAAATTTACTTTTCCTATTGGGACGCTATTGTCTTGAAGAGTGAAGTTCTTCATAAGATATAGGAGGCTCCTAGTCTAAAATCCAGGATTTATCAACTATTGTTCCACAAAAACGAATTAAATAGATTTTAGAAGAATTAGAGGATGATATCTATTTATAATCGCTCCAGCTATTCTGTAAAAGTCGCCTACATGTAAACATGCTAAATTTGCATTGTTTGCTGAAGGAATTTGACTGTGGATTTAAGATATTACAGAATAGCTATGGAGCGGTTATAAATAGATATTATCCTCTTATTCTTATGAGAGAAGCTAATGCTCAGATAGCCCAACAATTACTCCAGAAAGCGAGAGAACCAAATGTTGTTAAAACCTTGGTTGAAGCTGAAAATCTCGCCACCAGAAACGTTCAGAGATGGGTTCGATTGAGTGCTGAAGAAACTTTCCAGTTTTAACTCTTGAATACCTAAAGAACTTTACCATCGGAGTATACCAAGTAAAACTTGCACCATCATACATTCAAGATAAACAAAGAAATGAAGATAAAGAATTGCATATTAAAATGTTAAGAGATAAGAACCGACTACCAGAACCGGGTTTGTTGCGAGCAAGAGTATCTTCTCGCTTCCGTAATGCCGCAAAACATCAGCTTTGATCCAAAGCATATCGATCTACAAATAAGGACGAAAACGATCAAAAAAATGAAGATCCTATACAAGGCTATTACTGCACGTGCAAATCCGGTGCTCGCACTGTCGCGTCGGTACCTGTGCACACATTGCTTCTATCATCTGGTTTATGGGTTACGCACAACATCAACCTAATCATTATCCTTCAAACCAGATAATCGAATCCATTCGTGATTCAGTGAACCGACCGCAGCGACGTAATATCAACGAGCGACCCTAATCATGTACATTAACCGGTCCTTTTCAGGGCCAAAAGATGTACAAAATCCGATCGCGCAACCTCCACGCGGTGTACATTTGGTCATGCTAATGCCGACGGTGCACTGATTATAAGAATATACACGCACCTACATTTACACACACATACACAGACATACCCCCACCCTCACCCTCACCCTCACCCTCACCCTCACGCACGCACGCACGCACGCACGCACGCACGCACGCACACGCACACATACGTGACACACATAAAGATTTATCGTCGTGGATACTCTAGAATAAAATATCTCTAATATCCTCATTTTTATCATGTTCAACGTCTGATAATTCGAAAAGTAGATGGTTTTCGGACTTCGTGCCCATTAACACTTTTAATCAGGAGATTATGAAGTACAACATACTACAGTTTCAACCAATTTGACCGGGATCTATTTTCCCTATGGCTGAGCCCGGGGTTTTTATCTCCAAAAATCAAAGAGATTGGGATAGGTGGATCCCCTTATTCCTTTTGGCTTACAGATCTTCAAAACGTGAGACCACGGGCGTAACTCCTGCGGAGATGTATTGTACCCGGAATCTTAGGTTGCCCTTGGATTTATTACAAAGCAGTCCTCCGGGACTTCGGGAGGAGAGCCTTAAGTCGGAGGCGATTTTATCAAAAGGCTAAGGGAAAAGTTGGAGGGGATTCATTCCGTAGTCAGAGATAAGTTAGAAATTAAATCTTCTAGAGTAAAAGCGTGATATGATCGTGGAGCCAGGAAGAACCTTTTTCGAGAAAATCAGAAAATGTGATTTTATAATCCTCGAAGAGAGAAGGGGAAGACCCCGAAATTGCAAAGTAGTTGGGAGGGTCCTTTTTTAATTGTAAGAAAATTAAGTGATGTGGTATTTTGCATTCAAAAATCCCCCAGACATAGAAAGAGGGTAGTACATGCGGATAGGTTAGCCTCTTTTTATGAGAGAACGGTAGGAAGTAGTTAGAGAAATCGGAACCCGATTTATCCTTAAGAAAGTTTTTCTTTCAAGTTGTTAAGTGTTACTGCGTGTATTGTTTTTTTTTGTGTTTAAGGGAGAGTCATCGTTTCTCCATTGGAAGAGCTTCTTGAAGGACACGGAGTGGAGTCTCTTCATTGTTACCTTAAGACCATCGGTTGAAAGAAAACTGCCTCTCCCTCGGCAGTTTTTGTGACTGAGATTTTTCCGAGGGACTAGGGCGAATGCCGAGGCAGAGATTAGGGGAGTCCTAATACGAACAGATATTTCGGTTAGAAACGATGGGTCCTCAGGAAGTTACCCCCCCTTATCCGAAGACTTCGTGGGGCGACATTTGCGGCGGAAAGAGAGAGCGGCGGCGAAGAGAACCACGTCGAGGAGAAATTGTAATGGAGTTCCAGTTCGTAAAGCCGGAGAGGAAGAGAGCCTCCTGTAACGGCGAGGAACAAAAAGAGGACAGAAAGTCTTTGGTAGCAGGTTGGGCCCAGAGGAGATGAAGTCCGATATCCTGTGGCAACAGCTCGGGATAGGGCGAGATACGCTTCAGAGCCCTAGAGCCTGCGAAGAAAATGAAACCTCCTGGAGACTGCCCTTCCGGATTGTTGGGACAACAATCTGAAGAACAGGGGGGGGGCAGTGTTGCATTCACGCTGAGTTCGTCAGCTTTGCCCGGTATTTTCCGCGCGGAGCGTCTTTAGCAACGGGCGTTGCTATGAGTTGTTGATACAGCCCGGCTGTCAGATTTCCTTCTAACTGAAACTCGAGCGGACGTTTCGGTTCGCGCTGCGCAATTGTAAACGTACGCAATAAACCATCCTTTCTTTGCTAAACATGTGTTTCCTCATTCCGTGGGTCGCGAGTAAACGCGCGAGCGAGTGCGGGAATGCGGAGTGAGTGTGCGAAAGCCGCCGGAGTGCAACAATAATATTAATTATTACATTTGCAATTTTACAAAATTGAATGCGTCTATTAAAATGCATTTAAATATTTTTTCTGTTTTTTTTTTACAGCAATCGATTTCTTTCATTATTCTACATATAAAAGTATGAAGGTAAAGTCATTGAAAAGTGAATACATTACGAGATATTTTATTATATTCCCTTTTTATATATTAAAAATATTATGATAAAATTTTAAATATCTCAGGAAATTCTTAACGAAAAGAAAGAGAACTTTATTATAATGTTTTGAAAATGTCTCGACGAGATCTACAACTTTTATTTCAAAGAAAAAATCAAGTTTAAGTTAAGAAATTAATCGCCTTTAAAATTTCTTGAAAACGACAACATCTATGACATGACTCATATCAGAATCGTGTGTCCCCCTTTAGACCATACAACTTTTGTCCAAAACATTTTTTCATATTTTTCATATTTTTCGAGATATTTGCTTGCGTCGATTAAAGTGACTCACTCTATATTCTGAGTAGTATACGAGAATTTACGAAAAATGATATACTACTGTGAGATATTACAAGTACGTCCTTAGAATTTACGAAAAATAATATACTACTATGAGATATTACAAGTACGTCCTGAGAATTTATGAGAAATAATATACTACTAGAGAGGTGCTATATAGAAATGTTCGAAGTATATTATATACGATACGTATATTTACAGTACGAGTACAGAACATTCGAATGATATCATGTGCGGTATGGGACGTTACACCTGACACGGGTCACCGCGGGTACACGTGTACCCGTGTATTTTAAGGAGGTATTCTAGTGTAACATGCGCTTTTATTAAGCTTTTTTTCGGGATTTTTTTACAAGAAATCAGTGAAAATTGTCAATATTAGCTTTTTATGTATATATTTTATTATCTTTAGAGAACGAAAAATATTATTTTGAGTTGAATTAATGAATATAAATATTAATGAAACCCTATCGAATACATGGCGAAAAAAATGACTTCCATGATATCTCAAGATCTATTTGACCGATCAAGTCCAGCTTTTGCGTACATCCTCAGCAGGTGTGTCGCTATAGCCCAAACTAGAATTAAGTAAAAAATTTTTTTTACAATTTTTACAGCCTTCGAAAGATTAAAAAAACTCGCAAAAATCCATACTTAATTTTCAAAGTGCCGCCATTTTTTTTATTTTTATTCTAGTTTTTGTTATAGCCATACTTATACTAATTAAAAATCTTTTTGTATTTTTTGTTTCAGACAAGCAGAATGGGCGCAATCATGGAAGCCATTTAGGGCGCTTTTTTTTCGCCATTTATTCGATAAGGTTTCATTAATAATTATATTTATTATTTCAGTTCAAAAAAATATTTTTTATGTTCTCTAACAATAATAAAATATATACATAAAAAGATAATATTAACCATTTGTTAACGAGGTACTGTAGGTATCTCTTGAATGAATTGCGAAGGTTTTGAAATCTAGAATGTTTTATTTCGGGCACGAGTGAAAATGTGCTGCTTGTACAATCGTGTGAACAAACCTGACCTAACGCAAGCGCTGGCGCCAAAATTACTAAAAAGTTGACTCGACTACTAACAGAGTGCGCGCAGCCATAACGCTAACTAAGATAATATGTAGATAAATTTAAATTAGTCACTGAAACGCTTAAAACTGAAATGCAAAGTAATAAAAACGAAATAAACAACTTGGCTTTTACCATTCCCGCCCGCCTTGAAAGGCTCCTTTCAAAATAACTATTCTCAGAAATGAATAATCTTAACTATGATTCTACCTGCAAAATAAGTAAATCTTAACTTAATTACAGTCTTCTATGGGTAAAGGGCAAACATTCCTTGCCGATCGTTTGAACTTTCCATTTGCCGTCTGCACAGTAACGACGCGTACGACATCATCGCTACCCGGGTGGACTTTGATGATTCTTCCGGCTGCCCATTATAGTGGTGGTAAATTGTCCTCCTTCAACAGCACCAACGTTCCGGGTTGCAAATTTCCTCTCCGCCGGTCCACTTGTTTCGACGTTGAAGCTCCACCAAGTATTCTTTCTGCCAGCGACGCCAAAAATCCTGACGGACCTTCTGCAAATGCTGCCAAAGCTTTAATCTGTTGTCAGGTACCTCAAGATAATCTAATTTTGCTGGTTGTAGTAAACGTTCCCCGGTCAGGAAATGCTAAGGCGTTAAGACTGATAAGTCTCGCACATCATTGGACAAAGGAGTTATCGGCCTTGAGTGACGGACTCAATGCCGACCAGCAACGTGTAACATTCTTCAAAAGTTAGCGAAAGTCCCTTTGTTACAACGTAGAAATGCTTCTTCATACTCTTGATGTTCGATTCCCATATTCCTCCAAAATTTGGTGTCCTTAGGGGGATGAAATGCCATTCTATTTTCTGACTGGCAAGCTGCTCTTGTATCACTTCTTTGTTTTCCTTTACGTAGTCATATATCTCCTTGAGTTCTCTTGCTGCGCCTACAAAATTAGTAGCGTTGTCCGAATATAATTGCAAACAATTGCCTCTTCGTCCCGTAAAACGCCGCAACGCTGTTAGGAACGATTCGGTTGTAAGATCTGTGACCAATTCGAGATGCACTGCCTTTGTGTGAAAACACACAAATAATGCTATTGTAGGCCTTTGATGTATGTACCCTTCCACGACGTATGCTCTCCTTGATCTTTATGGGGCCGGCGTAATCCACACCAGTCACCGCGAAGGCGCGAACATATCCTGCGACTCTTGCTGCTGGCAAGTTTCCCATTTTGACTTGCACACCTGTAGGTCTCCAACGAAAATAATCTATGCAAGATCGTGTAATCCTTCTAGCTTCCTTTCGGCCTGAAAGGACCCAATACTTTTGTCTGACGGCTGCCAACAACTGCTCTGCTTCGCAATGATGCATCTTGATATGCTCGTTTCTGAACATTAATTTAGTGACGTGATGCTTTGACGGCAATATAATCGGATGTTTCGCTTCGTGAGTTAAATCCGAATGCTGCAATCGACCTTCTACGCAAATCAGACCGCTGCCATCCAGAAAGGGATCCAATGCGATTAATTTGCTGTTTTTCTTTACAGGTTGTCCATTCTGTAGATCATAAAGTTCTTGTGGGAAAGCTTCTGCTTGTACCAATCTCGCGACTGCTGTTTCTGCCTTTACAAATTCTGCTGCAGTAAAAGCTCCAGTGCCAGTTTTTGATCTGCATCGATCACTGAATCTATAACAATATGCAACGACTCTAAGAAGTCGTTTAAATGATGATACCGATGGTAACAATCCTGTGGGCTGAGCTGTCACCACGAAACTAGCGATATTTTTCCTCTTTGGTAGGATCTCCACACTATTGGGTTGTTCAGGTCATGAATTCTCATCTGAAAGCCACCACGGCCCATGTCACCATAACTTGTTGGTCTGCAACTTTTCGATAGTTGTTCCCCTTGACAAAACATCCGCGGGATTCTCAGCTGATGGTACATGCTGCCAAACGTCTTGTAAACCTAGAGTCTGTATCTGAGAAACTTGGTTTGCTACAAATCTTTAATGTACTCGGGCATGTACATATCCACTGGATCACAATATTCGAATTACACCATAATCGTCCGAGTTTGATTCTATCTTTAAGAGCGTCTTTGGCTGTCTTGTAAAGATTTCCAAGCAATAACGCGGCATTTAATTCTAATTTAGCGATTGTTATAGTCTTTAAGGGGGCTACTCTTGATTTAGCACAGAGTAGATGCGACTGAAAATTGCCATCTGAATCACAAGTAACTGCATATAAGCAGGCTCCATAAGCGCGCTCTGAGGCGTCGCTAAATCCATGAATGATTATTTCTGTAGAACTCTTCTCTTTAATCTTCCGAGGGATCTTCAAGCTGTTGAGTTGACTCCATGACGATTGATAAATCTTCCACTTGCTATGAAGCTCTTGCGGCAAACTTTCGTCCCACTCCAAGTTAAGCGTCCATAACTGCTGCATCATGATTTTTGCAACAATCATGACAGGCCCTAGCAGACCTAAGGGATCGTAGATCTGGGCGATTTGTGAAAGCACGCTGCGTTTTGTAACTGGACCAGTCTTTGCTTGCTTCACGTCGTATTGTAGAAAATCTTCCTTGTGATTCCATAAGACTCCTAACGTCTTCAATGGGGCGTCCTTGTTGATTACTAGCAACTCCTCTGCTTTACTCTCTTCCATAAAATGACTCAAAGTTTGATGATCGTCGTTTGTTCTCCACTTCCTCAAATGGAACTGACCTTTTGCCAATAGATCAGTAAGCTTCTTCTGTAATTCGATATCCTTCTCAAGATTATCGTCGCCAGTGATAACGTTATCTGCATAAAAGTCCTTTAGTAGAACTCTTAGAGCTATTAGGAAATCAATTCCGTGCTCCTCCGCCAATTGCTTGAGGCAACGTATAGCCAAAAACATTGCGCATATTTGTCCGTATGTGACGGTGTTCAACGTAAATATTTCCAATGGATCTGCCTCATTTTTCCTCCAAAGGATTAACTGCGAAACTTGCGATCTGCTTCTGCCACCAAGACTTGTCTGAACATCATTGCAATGTCACCTGTAATCACAAAATTGTAAGTGCAAAATCTCAACAATATGTGCATCAATTCGTTTTGTAAGTTGGGGCCAGCCATAAGCATATCGTTCAAAGAATGATTGTTATCAGTTTTCGCCGAGGCGTCGAATACAACCCTAAGCTTGGTTGTGAGACTGTCAGGTCGCAGTACTGGTTAATGCGGAATAAAACATATGTCTTTCTCCTCTAGTATGTTTGGAGATACTCGACTCATGTGTCCTCTTTTTTTGTACTCTTCCATAAATCGTACATATTCTTCTTTGAGGGAAGGCTGTCTTCGAAAACGACGCTCCAATGCATAAAATCTTCTGGTTGCCTGCTGCCTCGAATCGCCAAGCGAAACATCTTCCTTCTTTGGTAATCGTACTACAAATCTTCCTGTTGCATCTTGCGTTGTCGTATCTCTGAAGTATTTTTCGCAATAGGCTTCTGAGGGACTAAGCTGTTTACTCTCAGGAACTTCCACCTGTGTCCAAAACCTCTCCAGCTGGTTGTTTAGAACTTGATTCGTTATCAGAAACGTAGTTGGTCTTATTTTGTCTGCGTTTGCTTCGATAAGCTCTCCTCCGACGATCCATCCGAGCTGAGTTTTTTGCCAGGTTGAATGTCCTTTGGTCCTTTTTATTTGGCCAACACACAAGAGACTCCAGAACAGCCCAGCGCCTATCAAGATGTCGACAGGGCCTGGTTTGTCAAATGCAGGATCCGCTAATCTGTGATCTTCCAGGATGCCAATCAACTTCTTGTTTATCTTGATTTGTGGTAGTCGCTCCGTTATTACAGGGATGACCAAACAATCCAACTCAGCCTTGTATGTTGTATTTTGAGATTCAATGCAAACTTTGGTTGAGCGCTCAATACTTGTAGTGTTGCGCATTATGCCATTAATAGCCGATGATTCCGCCTTGCATGGTAGCTGCAATCTTCTAACTAATTCTTCAATGACGAAATGCGACTGCGATCCGGGATCTAACAGTGCGCAACATGTTTGCTTCCTTCCTTGACCATCACGTACATACACCTGAGCGGTTGCTAAAATAACTTGAGAATGCGTTCCTTTATTTAAACGCTCCACCTTCGTTTGATTTGCTTCATCGTGCTCTCTGTTCTGAACACAATGCATAACTACAGCCTGCTCCGTTTCTTCCGACTTTTTCGGAGGCAAACCTTGCTTGTGAGAATCCTTTGCTGACGATTCTTCTCGCTCAATGTGTAATAATGTGTTATGAGATCTGGAACACTTGCGACATTTTGTAGATTTGCATTCTCTTGCATAATGACCGGACTTTAGACAATTAATACATAATTGTTTTTCTTTCACAGCTGTGAGTCGATCTTGTATTGACAATTTCAAAAAGTCTGAGCAATTAAACAAACAATGAGATTCTTTGCACATTTGACATATCTGAGATGTTGCTGCTAACGCTACTCGTTTATCAACTTTTTTATTTACATTACCCTTCGGAATTGTCTCCCGCCGACTAATATTACTATCTAACATCTTCATAGTGCGGCATCTCTCGTTGAGGAATTTAAGAAATTCTTCCGTTGTAGGCATGTGATCTTGATCTTGCTGGCTGATCTCTTCTTCCCATGCTCGCTGGGATTGATAATCTAGTTTGCTTCTCGCCAGAAAAATGATGATTGTATCCCATTGATCTGTGGGTTGGCCTAAAACTTGCAAGGCCTTTAAATGCGTACGAAGGTGCATAACGAATTGCTTCAACGACACATGCTTGTCTTTTGTGACTGTAAGAAATTCTAATAATTTTGATAAATGACTATTTATAATTAACTTTTTATTTCCGTAATGACCTTTTAGTAGATCCCACGCTACGAGGTAATTTTTCGTCGACGTATTTAGTCCGCTTATGACCTGTAATGCCTCGTCCTTTAACGTGCTTCGGAGATATTGAAACTTCTGTACGTCCGACAACTTGCGATTTTCGTGAATCAGTGATTGGAAAGCGTCTTGAATAGCATCCACTGATCATATTCGCCTGTAAAAATAGGCAATTGTAGTGTAGGCAACTTTATGTCAATATTACCTTGCAATCCGAATTCTCGTTGTTGTGTTTCCGGCACTGGCTGCGCCGCTATCTGAGCTGGTGTTATGATCGCGCGAGCTTCATCCACTGCCTTGTAGTATGCCCACTTGAATACTTCTCGCTCTCCCAATTCTTGTTGTGTAACTTGATCTAAGTCTTCTTCGTCGTCCGCCTTTGCGACTTCTATTTGCGTCTGCATCTCGTTGAACGCTATCCATATTTCTTGCAGCCTTTCCAGCCGCGCTTGTGCTTGCTGGCGGATTATTTCCTGCTCGGATGTTAGGAATGTATTTACTCTTGTTACCTGGCCTTTTAGTTGTGCGCGTGCGGCCTTCAATCTCTTCAACTCTGCCATGTTGCGGTTGTACGATCCCGCGTTGCGAGGTTATGCGACAGGTTATGCTATGATTCTGCTTGCGAATCTATCGATTGCTATCTTCAATCCGATTGTTTCCACCCGAGCCCCACGTTGGGGGCCAAAATGTTAACGAGGTACTGTAGGTATCTCTTGAATAAATTGCGAAGGTTTTAAAATCCAGAATGCTTTATTTCGGGCATGAGTGAAAATGTGCTGCTTGTACAATCGTGTGAACGAACCTGACCTAACCTAAGCGCTGGCGCCAAAATTACTAAGAAGTTGACTCGACTACTAACAGAGGGCGCGCAGCCATAACGCTAACTAAGATAATATGTAGATAAATTTGAATTAGTCACTGAAACGCTTAAAACTGAAATGCAAAGTAATAAAAACGAAATAAACAACTTGGCTTTACCACCATTTTCACTGGTTCCTTGTAAAAAAAACCCCGAAAAAAGCTAAAAAAGTGCAAGTTCAAGTTATACACTAGAATACTCCCTTTTAAATTACTCGCGTGTATGTTTCCGTTCGTGTGTCACGCACTCAAACTTTAGGGTATATTTATATTTATAAAATACGTGCGACCAATTCTATGTCTTAGCAAAATATCACTCTGGGCTGCTGAAGGCACTCGGATGATGTTTTTGAACGTTCTATTTGTTTATTTCGTTATTCCTTTTTTGTTAACGGTAATCTCCGTTTATCCATCGCAATGTGATGTTGACTCGTTCGACAGCTTTTTAAATTTGTTAAAAAATAAGAAACATATTAAATATATTAGGACTTCCGTTTCCGGTTGGTTAGGTGTGAGACGACGTATTTTGTGCGTGAAAAGTGGAGTGCGAGTGTGAGAGGTAGAGTGAGAGAGAGAGTGTGACAAGCGAGGGGAGAGATCAGAGAGTGAGAGGGAGGGTGTGAGAGTGGAGGAAGCGCGAAGGGTTCAGAGAGAGAGAGAGCCCGTGGAGGCTGAGGAGAAACAAGAAGGTAGAAGTTAGAGAGGCAGACGTAGAAGGGGAAGAGTATAGAGCGCTAGAGTAAAAAGCTAGGGAATTCTGGGGAGTTCGGGAATAGCGTGGGGAAGCAGTTCGGCCATAGAGTAGGAGGATAGGAGATGGCACAGTTCGCGGATAAATTAGGGAAGAGAGATGCGGTAGTACGGGGAATATAGACGAGTTTTTTAAGAGGAAAAGGGATACAATGGAAAAAGAAGAAGGAGCGGTTGGGAAAAAAAGGGAGCGAGAACTTTTTTAAGAAAAGCAGGAATGTTGAGAGAACGCCACCAGGAAGGGAAGATGTGGATATGAAAGAGTTGCTGAGAAAATTAGGACAGGAGCTGAGGGAGGGGTTAAGGGGGGTGAGAGAGGAATTAAGAGAGGTGGCGAAGGGGCAGAGGGAGACAATGGTGGAAGAAGTAGAGAAGATAAGGAACGAGTTAAGGGCGAGAGAGGAGAAATGGAGCAGGAAGAGAAAGGAGTTTAAGAACATAATAAAAGATTTAGAACAAAAATTGGAGGGGATGAAGATGGAGTTAAAGAAGGGAGGTCACGCTGGAGGAAATGGTGCAGAAGGATGCGGAGAAGGGAGAAGGGAGGAGAAGGGAAGGTCTGTTTGGAAGGAGAGGATAGAAAGGCTGGAAAGGTATGAAGTGAAGGAGAGGGGAGAAAGGAAGAGAAACATTTTGATAAAAGGAGTAAAAGAGGATGCGGGAGAAATAAAGGGGGAAATAGAGGAGGTAATGAAAAAAATAGAAGTGGAGATTAAAATAGAGAAAAATAGATGCGGGAAAGAGAGAGAAGAAAGGTATGGTAGTGGTAAGAGTAGGAAGTGAAGAAGAGAAGTCAAGAATAATGAGAAATAAGTGGAAATTGAGAGATGAAAGTACTTGGATAAAGGAAGATTTGACATGGGAAGAAAGGAGGATAAAATGGAGGGTAAATCAAATTGCATGGAAGGCAAGAGGAGAGGGTAAAAGGGTACGGGATAGGGATAGGAAACGGATAGGGCAGGGAAAGGTATGGATAGAGGGGAAGTGGTGGGTGTGGGATGAGGTAAGAGATGTGCTCAGGGATAGTAGAGGGAAGTGTTGGGAGGCAGGGCAAGGGAAAGAGGAAGAAGGCAAGAGAGATGAAGAACAAAAACAGGGGGAGTAGAAGAGGGAGAGGGAACGGGTAGGGTAGATGAAAGAAGAGTAGATAAAGAGAAGGAGAAGAGGGAGGAATTAGAGAAAAGTTTTGGAGAGGAGGAGGGGGAGGAGGAAGAGAGGGAAGAGAGAGAGGAGGGAAGGAAAATATACAAGGTGGCTTTTTGGAATGTGGCGGGGTTAAATAAAGATAAAGAGTTCTAGAAGGGGCTGGAGAAATGGAATGTAATGGTGTTATGTGAGACGTGGGTGGATGGAAAGAGATGGGAAAAGATAAAGGAAAGGCTGCCGAGAGGTTACGTATGGGAAGTGC